CTTTTATCAAATTATACTTTTTCACATGCTTTTAATATAAATGTTGAATAAAATCTGCATATATATTTAATTTTATTAATTGTTAAATTTTTTTTGCCTAATTCTTGTTTTTTTTAAAAAAAAATGATCAAATGAAAATCGAATAACAAATTAGCAATAGTTATAAGACATACAAAAGTTTGACTAAAAGTGCAATGTAACTGCATGAAATGTAATGATCATTTGGTTGATACTCGAACCAGAAAAACCCACGAAATAAAATATAATCGGCTTAAAGCTTCTATTTTTAAAAGGAAAAAAAAAGAAACGGAAACCTTTAGATTACAACCTAATTTGATCAGTTCTTCACAAGACCTCGATGGCAATGTTTTGTTAAACAAATATTCTTTACCTAATTTGGCCAGTTTTTCACAAGAATTTGATGACAATATTTCATTAAATAAGAATTTTTTATCAAATTCGGTCAATTCTTTACAAGTCCTCGATGATGATATTTTGTCAGACGAAAATAGCTTCACTAGTGATAGAATAATTTTTGAATAATGTTAGAAAAAAGTGAAGAAAATACAATCAGTTTCATATGACTAGTGACAATACCATTATCATTCTAGATGAAGAATATGAATAACAAGTTGATTCCTCTGGTGATGACGAAGAATTTCAGTCAGTTGATGAGAAATCTTCTTCAGATGAACTATTGTTAAATGATAATGAATCGTTTGCGACACCTGAATATGTAGAAGAATCAGATACAGAAAATACATCCACAAACATAAATATGAATGATTTTTGGATTCTTTTATGGATTTTCAAATATCAAGAAAGATTCAGGCTTCCAGATATTGCAGTCGATTCATTAATCAAATTCTTTAGGGTAGTACTGTCCGATGCTAATGAAAAATGATTCAAAAAATTTCCTGTAAGTGCTTATATGGCAAGGAAGTTATTAGATATAAAAAGGAAATCAAAAACATATGTTGTCTGTCTTGAATGCAATAAAATATATTCTATTACAACAAATCAGATGAATTCAGAATGTAAATGCTCTCATGTAGAATTCCCGAATCATCTAATGCAAAATCAACGGGAAGCTTGTGGGGCAGAATTACTTACGAAAATTCCAGTAACAAACGAATACATATGGGGCCTTTGCAATAGAAAGGGAGGAAAACTCCAAAAAAATTAAAATTTTAGTTTATAAGCCAAAAATGTTTCAAATACTATAATTTATTCAGATTTATCATTAACTCATTTTTTATTTTTTTTTGAGTTTCCTTCCTTTCTATTGCAAAGGCCCCATATGGCATCCTAAAATGATATATCCATTGCCTTGTCTAAGGACTCAAATAATTACAATGTATCAAAGGCCAGGCTTTGAAGAACTTTTAAAGAA